TCGACCAAAACCTCGAAGCTTCTGGAGGCCTTTTCACCAACCACCATTGACCTTTTCGCATGTGTTTATCTTGGATTCTGGAGCCCGGGGCTAACCCTCCAAGCCTGCTTCCAGCCTGGGGCTGTTCTGCCCTGGTTCAAATTGCTGCTGTCCTAGGTGCACATGTATAGATGCGGTGCCTGGGAGCAGCTGACTCCAGCTCAAACTGTTCGGGGATTTATTGTATCACATTAATTTCACATGTAGATGCACCCAGTATGCTTAATTTAGGTGGTATAATGCTTCCCTAGGGAAGGCGGTGGGTGCTTCATTGCAAGTCATTTGAAAACAGACTGGATAAAGCATTCAAATATATAGCACTGGGAACAATTCCACATTAGCAGTCAGCAGGGAAAAGATAACAGGTATTTTCCATCTCTATTATCTAATGCTATTTCTTGTCTTTTCAGTAACTGCTGTATAGTAAATGAATTAAAGATTGAAATGCTTATTGTATGCGTGCTACCTGACCATCAGCTTGAAAGAACAAACATTGGCCTGTTTTTTGATCAGGTTGATGCAAATATGAAATCGATTATTACCAGAAAAGTATAGGAAAATAATCCATTTGCCCCATAGATAGATAGATATTTTCTCTGGAAAGAGTCTTCTAGGAAAGGGGTGTAGGTTGTAGCCGTGTTGGTCTTAGGACCTAGGCAGACATCCTTTTAAAGCTTCTAATTAAAACGTACAGGAAAAGATTATATTTCTGTGGAAATTTCTATTTCTACTTTCTTTTCTATTTCTATTTTCTTCTCTATTTCATTTTCAAAAATAAAGTAGATGCTGTGTAAACTACATAAAGCTGAATAAAGCACACGTTTGGGTTTTGTGTAAGGATATTTAAAGACTTTCCAAATCTTTTAACTTTCATAATTCAGTCTGTAATACAGTCTGATATTTGGATGATTTGGTGTGTATTGAGAAGTAGTCTGAGCACTTCTGAATGGCAAAGACTAAATTGAGACTGTAAGCTATGAAGTCATTTGCTGTTGCAGGGCCAAAGAAAGGCTGGCTGGTGAGGACTAACATCAGCAGTGATTGGCCTCAGCAGGTGATAGATTATGAAATCTCTCTGCAGGTCTGCTAGATGAAAAGAGCTTTCCAGAGTTCACATGGAACTCTAAATCTATGTGGTGGAAAACTTTTTATTGGATTCTTTCTGCAGTTTATGGATGGTATATGTTTTTTTATGAAGTGTGACATACAAAAGGAAAATAAATCTAGGTTTTATAACTGTAAAGTCAAATTGGTAGAAAAATAGTTTGCTTTGTAAATGTTGTACTGAGACTAATCTTAAGGGTTCAGAGATTGTTGTGTTTTGGAAGTTAGGTTTGTAGCTAGTCTGACTTGTCATTTCAATTCCTTATGTTTTCTTCCATACCTGTACAGAGGGAGTCAGTATGCATAAGATGGAAACTTGCTATCTCACTTTTTTAAGTTATTAGTCCTACTGTTACATCAGCATTAATTATTTATTATAATTTATTTTTGCACATTAGCCGATGAAACCATTCCGCTTCCATCAGCATCTTTATGTAGTGGCTCTCTTCTTTTTCAGTTTAAGAATTTTTATTGCACACGATGAGCAGATGCCTATTACAGAAGGCCAGGATTTTCAAAAATAGCCAACACCTGACTTAAAATATCTGATTTCCAGAAAATGCCAGGTCTCCAGTCTCTAAAAATTAGCTCCTTTTGGTCCTCAAATTGGACATGAAAACTACATGGACAATATTAGCTAGTTGGATGCATTAAAGGGTTTTTGAAAGTGTCTGAACCTGTGAGACCAGTCTTTATTCTTTATGAACCATGTCCTTAACAATTTTGGACAAAGCTCTCTGAAGCTATTCTTGCAGCTCTGCAATCTTTTTCTGCCTTTGGTAGAACAGAGAGTGAATTCTTCAAGGCTGAGTGAGTTTCTAATGGTGAAAAAGTTCTGGTTCATTTATTTTAAAACAAAGCAAAAACATATTTCCCATATACACGTCTTTTGGCTAGTGGAACTGTTAACTGTTTTCATTCTTTCACTGTCTTGTTGTGTACACTTTTTTTTCTTTGCCTTTTTTAGCTTGATTTCCACTTGTATATGTTTTATGGACACTGGATTTAATTGATCACAACAACTGCATTGCAAAAAGAATCAGTCTTTTTAATCTTTATTTTTATATGTCATTAATTCACTGAAAAATGTTAGTGTGCAACAGACAGGACCATTTTACATCTTTTTTAAGGTTTGAGGATCCATTCATATACAACAACCTTACTAGTTATACCTTTAGTCAATGTTTTACAGTATCTTGCCTTTTCATATTATAGTATGCATGTTATGCAAGAGTCTGAGCATAGGTTAGATCTGTGCAGGAAGTGCTCGATGAATTGTGGCTCTTTTTCTGATAGCTTATGAAAAATGTTGTGCTACACAAATACCAATTCATCTCAATTTAATAATTCCAAAATGTACTTGGAAAAAGTCCTTTATGTAAGGTGGTTTTTAAATAGCTGCTTTTCATTGCCCATTTTATAATGCTGTTAAATATTGTAATAATTCTAGTTCTAAATATCCTGAAAATTGTCAGTCTTGACTCACTTCCAGAGTTAACTGCTTCTAATTTCCTTGTTCTAATGTTTTACATCTCTGAAATGTTGTGTAATCGTGTGTGTAAGAGAGAGAGACTTTTTAAAGCCTTTATTATAAAAATTAAAAAATAGAAAAATGAAAGTGCGGAAGTGTTTGTGGCTCCGCTCCCAGGAGCTGCACATGAAGCATTTGTCAGTAATAAAATAAGCATATTACCAGAGATTGAAACTCCTCTCATTTGAAACTCCAACATAGTTCATGGAGTTATACATTTACAACTAGTGACTGTCTTCCACCCTGCAGAGCTTCCCCTTGATGTCCCAGAGCAACACACATTGTTTCATATTTTGTTCCAAGGTGAAGTCTTCAAACTCAAACAAGACACATGCCCGCACCAATAAGCAGAAGGTTGGGGGGCACTGTTGGAACCAGTGCTTGCAAACTGATTTCCATGGCTTTTCAAGGTTGCCATCCTCAGTAGGAAATTTGCCAGGTGGCTTATGCTCCCTTCACCCACTTGATGAAGAATAGAGAAAATGTTCAATCTTGAAGAAGTCCAGCATGCTAAATAGGTTGATTGCAAAGAGTGGCTGCAGCTGAGGGCAGTTTGGGGGAAGGGGGTGTGTGGTGGGGAAAGAGACAAAAAAAAGTCCTTTATTATAAAAATAATTAAAACAAAAAAGGTGAAAGTACAACACTGTGTGTGGCCCTGCCCCTAGGGCCAAGCATGCATTGCTTAGCAGAAAAAAAATACTTGTCACCAGAGACTGAAACACCTTCCCCCCCAGTGTCTTTCATGATGTATGATAATTATCCCTGGTCAATAAGTGGGAAGTGTACAGAGTTTAATTAATCACTGACTATTTCTTACTAGTGCTCAGCTGCCTTGCCTTCCCACTTACTAATATGTAGCTCACATTCCTCCCATTTACAATCAAATCTTTTCTCTGTATTTCTATGACACATAAATGTACTTATAAGGAAAATATTTAATATGTTTGCCCTTCTATCCAAGAAGGTGCAGATTTTAGGGCTTTGCCCAATGATTTCCCACTGGATAAATTCTGTACAGTTAGCAACAGCTCCCTGAAAAAGAAACTAAATCACAGAACTGACAGCAATGCCATTTCTTTTTCGAAGATTGAATCTTGTTTATGTACTAAGAAAACTGTCTATGTCAATATGCCAGAAGAATGTGTGTAGCTGGTTGTGGTAGTTATTTTGGCTTTTGGGGTGGGGGGGGATCTTTGGCTGTTTGTTTGTTTATTTGTTGTAATATTTTAGCATCTGGAAGTAAAGAATGCAATTTGTACCATGTCTGTTCAGGAGACTGTAGGCAGGTATAAAATGATCCACATATTGTGAGCCACTGATGTAAATTAATTTGTAAATCTTGCAATGTGCTTGTTTAATTTTAGTTCAGTTTGAGAGGATGAAGGCGATTGTAATTTAGTGGCATCAAATGAAAAGATGAAATTATTGTTCTATAAGGGGTTAATAAAACCTAGTCTAACACAGACTCTTGCTTAGCTCTTACATCCAAATGAGCTGAAGGGGAACTAAGTTGAACTTTCATAGTGGGTTTGATCAGAGGCAAGCTTTTAAAGAAGTCTCTCTTATCCTGGCTAGAATATGTGCTGTGGTTACTAGAAACAAACTTTTTTTTTTTTTAAAGGAGAGGGTGAGGTAGGGGAGATACATTTCAGAAATAAAGGAATTCTATCAGGTTCAATTTTGGACTATGGTAGTAGGCAGTGGGATGGGAAAGTTCCTCTATTGATGAAATACTCTATATTCATATTCAAGCCCTGGACATTCCTGCACAATTATTATAAAATTATATTGGTTAAAAAGATGGTTTATATTTTAAAACTAAACTAGAAAGGCTGTTTCATACAACTTTTCATCTGCTCCTGAGAAAAGAGGGAGAATTGGACCTTAAGAGATGAGAAGCTGCAATTCAAAAGGAAGTGATCCACCTCCCTCTTGTGCTTATATTCCCACTTCTTTAATGGTAGATGAGCAGGCATTGTAGCTTCTGAAACAGAAGTTGGATTCTGTTTTTAAGAATGAGCACATTTTAAACCCTCATTAATTTTCTTTGTAACGTAGGTATCTAGAGATGAAGTAAAGGCCATGACATATAATTACAAGGTCTTTTATTATTAACTCTTTGACCAGAAAGACCAGACTGTAATTATACAGTAACATATCACAGAGGGACAGAATAATCCATGTAAGAGATATGTGCATGTATACTCTATACTGAGTACACAGATAAGCACAAAATTGTGCCAGTAATCTGTGTTGCTGTATTCAAAGAGCACTAAAGTAACCCAAAGAAAAATGTTACTAACTCATTGCTTTTATGTTGTTGCAGTTAAGTGATGGTGGCAAGGCAGCTCGAGCAAACGTGGGAATAGGTGATGTGGTTTTCACCATTGATGGCATAAGTGCAGATGGGATGACTCATCTGGAAGCACAAAACAAGATTAAGGCCTGCACAGGAAATTTGACTATGACTCTGCAAAGGTAAAAGTTATTTTCTTTTTTAAAAAAACAACAAAATTAGTAATTTTTAATCTCAATTGCTTTCTGGCTGATAACCCGTAAATGTGGTTGCCTATGTGCAGTTAATGGCCATAACTGTAAGATAATGTCTTGGTAGCCTTAAATGTATGTGTGTACTACTCCCCAGACAACTCTACTATGAACAGAGAAAGGCTTTTTGCAACCCACTGTTAGTCCATCCTGTGCAGGATAGACTTTTAACTCTGGTTTCCGCTTTTCAAGGTCTCTTTTGTTAATACTAAAGAGTAATGCTGAGGAGATTTAAACTGAACTTCTTGCCTTCCCCCTTCCCAGGCTTGGATGTTTCTAGGGTTCCACCCTTCAGACTACTCAGCTCATACTCTATGGCTTCTTCTTCAAAAACTTTTCCACCTCTTTGTCTGAATGAAACAAGTTGCTTGTTTCAATGATTCAGTGATCATTAAGTCCCCAGCTTCCCCCTTTCCTTTGGCTGCTGATAATGGGAAGAGTAACAATTAAAGAGCTATACTGAGAAAGCACTGATGTTTACTAGCTTCATAACCATCATGTCTGCTAGACTTCTTGTGATTAGAGTTAGATAGAATATCCAAATAGAATTAGATAGGATATACAAAACTTGAGTGGCCAGCCTATATTAGTGGATTCATGATTGCTAACACAAACAGAATTTTAAAGAGATGACTGTCTCAGCTTAACCAGTGTCTGGATATGCTGCTTCAGGCAAACACTGCCAGCCTGTTACGGGTGGCTTACAATAGCTGTGTTCATTATACTAACAGATGTGTAAGTAAAGCTTTCTTCAGTGAGGAAGAACTACACTGAGAAGGCTGTTAACCACATGCTCTATTACAATGTGTCACCCTTTTTTACATTTTTCTCTTTTAAATGAGTATTTAAGGTAGGTTATGAAGAAATGACAGGAGATAAAACATTGTTGTTGATATGGGATTTGAGCCACGTTTGATTCGGAAGTTGATATTTAAGGCAGATGGTAAGAAACTGGTTAAAGTCAATGCCATCAGAGGCTATAAAACTATATATTTATTTGTCCTAGCTAATACATACCATTTTGAGCGGTGGCTCCCAACCCTTTTTTGCTGCGACCCTAAATCCAGGTCATGACCCCTGCCCCCATGACTCATGCCCAGCTGTGCCAGCAGAGCACAGACCAGGCCAAGATTACAGGGAGACAGGAGCGGGCAGCAGCGATAAGAGCCACCAGGCGGGAAGGGCAGACCCCCCGTGACCCTGATTTGGGTCGCAACCCAAGGTTGGGAGCCACTGATTTTGAGTATTTGGATTATAGATTTATTTTAAATTGAAAGAGAAAACATTTTGTTTCCCTGGAAAGCAAGCTTGGGACCTTAACAGAATATGCACCACTTTCCAAGAATTATGTAAAATTATCAAAACGATTATCCTTTTCCTATTGAAAGGACAGTCTGTAAAAACAGAAGGAACTCTTTTACAGGCATTATACATTTTACAGCTGTCCAGACTGTCATTTCTCTTCGTTCTCTCTGTTCTCCTTGAGCTTTAGGTAAATTCTGTTACCCAGATGATCTCATTAATTTACTGTACCAGGAAGATGGCAGGAGATAGCCTTGGGTTTGCACTGGCCCTCAGGTACCTATGACAAGGAGAACCTTCTTCTTCTATTCCTGGAAAGAAGGGCAGCCTGGAAATCAAATGGAAATCACAGTCCTCACCTATAGTGTATATGCATCTTATTTGAGGAAACCCTCAAACCAGATGTTAAAAGCATGTGTAGGAAATAAGGTCATTATGTGCAGTTTGGGGACTGACTGGCTCAACAGCAGCTCTGCAGAAAAGGACCTGTGGGTTACAGTGGACAGTAAGCTGAATATGAACCAACAAGGTGCCCTTGTTGGAAAGAAGGCTAATGGCATACTGGGCTGCATTAACAGGAGTCCTGCCAGCAGATTGAGGGAAGTGAATTTTCCATTGTATTCAGCAGTGGTAAGGCCACATCTGGAGTACCATTTTGGGCCCCTTACTACAGAAAGGATGTAGACAAGTTGGAGAGAGTCCAGTGGAGGGACTGAAAATGGTTAGGGGAATCTGGCACATGACTTAAGAAGAGAGGCTGAAGGAACTGGGCTTATTTAGCCTGGAAAGAGAAGACTGAGGTGGGATTTAATAGCAGCCTTCAGTTATCTGAAGGGTGGTTCCACAGAGGATGGAACTAGACTGTTCTCGGTGGTAGCAGATGACAACAAGGAGCAATGGTCTCAAGTTGCAGCACGGAAAGTTTAGGTTAGATGTAAGGAAAAACTATCTCGCTCAGAGGATAGTAAATCGCTGGAACAAGTTACCCAGAGAGGTGGTGGAGTCTCCATCCTTGGAGGTTTTTAAGACCTGGCTAAACAAAGCCTTGGCTGGGATGGTCCTGCTTTGAGCAGAGGGTTGGACTAGATGACATCCTGAGGTCCCTTCCATGCTAATTTTCTATGATTTTATGATTCTATGATTCCATGTCAGCCAGTCACAAGAAGCCCAGATTTCCATTGTCTTTACAATTAGTCCACCTGCCATTTTTCCTTTCAATTATAGTTATAGCACTTATAGCACTTCATCTCTTGCCACTCAAGAACACAGTCAGGAAGCCCAATGAATTATTTTTTGAAGTCCTCTTGACTGAATTTCCTACAGGCAGTTCTGGAGAGAAATGGTTTGATGTCCTCTGCTTCCTCACAAATAGCTGGCGAGACTAAAGGAAAGATGGTGCGAGTGATAGTCAGGTCTCATTCAGACAACAGGCCTGTCTGGGCTTGCAGCTTTTTAGATATGAATATGATTACTTAAAAGATTTGGGATTATTCTTTCAAGTGAGCTAATATTAAATGAGTTAGTCCTTTTAGCCCAATACAGGATCTGACTCATTGGAGTCTGCTACATGACAACTGAAGGATGTGTCATTTATCTCAGGATTAGCCTGCTGCAGATCAAAGAAACAATCCTCTCATTCCAGTCCCAGTATCTTTTCACTACGTGAGGGGGACTGATATCCTGCCTTGAGGTCATGCCAGTTCATAGTCCCGTATTTTTCAGCTTTTTCCAATCCTTTCTCGATCCCATAAGGAAGAAGTATTAGGCAACTCTCTCCTCTATCCCTTGGCTATGAATACATCACGGCTTTGGTTATTCAGTAACAGAATTGTTTTGATTTTAAAAAAAATAAAATTGGAAGGGTGGAGTGCATCTGTATGTGTGCTTTTTGCTTTAAAGATTGGTTTGATTCATAATAACTACAGATACTAGCTGCTTGTAGGAGGCATTCCTCTCAGGAGTAATTAAGGCAGTAAAATGAGCTGCTTTATAAAAAGACTGTTATTTTTTTATGGGATTTTTTTAGGAATTATTTTCCCCAAAAGGCTGAAGTAATGGGGGAGATGCTAAGGTATGATGTTAGCTCAGGTTAAAGAATGTTTTAAAACAATGTGATGTTTAAAATAGGTAGGAAAAGCTGAGATTTATTATAAGCAACTTTCTTCTGTGTTGTTTTTCTACTTGTTTTTATTTTTGCTTTTTGTTATGTATTAACACAATGCCAAAATGTTTGACTTTCAAATACACTGCTGGACTTACCCATCCATACAACTGAATAAGAGGGGATGTGGCTTGCACAGAAGAGGGCATTTCACAGATAGCAGTTCCCTGTTTTGTTTTGTTTTTTTTAATATCTGTCAAGGTATCCTTGCACTGTACAGAAAAGGATGTATGGTGGTGGAGAGACCATAATAAATCAGGAAAGGGTGGAACTTAAGGAAATAGAAGATATGGGTGGGGGGGATTAATATGGTACTGAAAACATAGTGCTTCTGCTTTTCTTTTTGTAATTACAAAGGTACTTTGAGTTGTGGTGTAGTTGACATATGTTGGTGTAGTTTTATGATGCAGTTAAAGATGAGGAAAGAGGCCATCATTTCTTATTCGATTAGATATCTGAGTTATAATCAGGATAATATATGTGAAATTATTAATGCAGTTTAATTTGTTAGTTGTATTCAGTAGCACTCACAATGCACTACACAAAGCCTTTGCCCATAGAAAGACCGCTGATGTCCCTAAAGAACATGATTTGTTTGATCTCGGTACAAGATTCTGACACGTTATCAAGGCTTATGAGATCTGTAAGACTGACAGTGATATTGTACCTAAGAGAATGTGTGCACTGCATACAGTCCATAATGAAAAAGCTTATTGACATGCTGTTAAGTCTTCAAATAAAATGAATCTAAATTAAATAAATGAAAGCTGTCTGACTATGAAAACTGACTGCATATGAAGTTTCTTCAACTTTTCCAAAAAAAATTAGAAGGCGATATATTTGAGGGGGGACTTTTCCCTAAATTAAACAGTGCAATATAGTGTTTAAATATGTAATTGTTAATTCTTTTTGGAGGGAAACAAGCTTACAACGACCACATTTTTAAAAGGGGCACCTTGCTTGGAAACTTCTTTAGAACATCTGTATATATTAATATTTTCCAGATGTGCACCATAGTGAGTCTAACATCTACATATGTTTAAAAGTTTTCTCAGGTATCTACTATTAGTTCTTCAAAGGAGTTTCATCATTTTCCAAGGACAGCATTAGTTCAAAATTCTTGTTCAAAGTTTATAATGTCCTTTAGTTGTCTTTTGCTGATTTTTCTCATATTTACCTTTTTATTTTTGTGCACAGACTTAACTGGCTTTTGTGCAACTTTCAGTGCAGTTGCTCATCTTCTTTTTTTAGGAAATTAATTTCATCATTATGAAAATGTCCTTTATGGTATGTGTCCATTCCTCCCCAAGATCTTATTCTTTTACATCCCAATATTTTATTTTTCACTTAAAAGTATTTTTCTTGGTTCCATGAGGACAGATGGAAACCAGATGCTGACTTTTTTTAGATACCTGTTCACCTTTGGTAATTTAGCATACACTTCAATAAATAATATTGTAAGTTACTG